TGAGTTTTCTTCTCCCATAACACCTCAGCAAAATGGAGTTGTGGAAATAAAAAACAGGACCATACAAGAATCTGCCAGAGCAATGTTACATGCCAAAAGACTTCCTATATATTTTTGGGCTGAAACTATGAATACAGCTTGCTATGTTCATAACAGAGTCACCTTGAGAAAGGGAACCTCATCCACCATATATGAACTTTGGAAAGGAAGAAAACCAACTGTGAAGTACTTCCATGTGTTTGGCAGCAAATGCTATATCCTGTCTGATCGTGAACAGAGAAGAAAACTGGACTCCAAAAGTGATGAAGGCATATTTCTAGGATACTCCTCAAACAGCAGAGCTTATAGAGTATTCCACTCCAGAACCAAAACCATGATGGAATCAATAAATGTTGTAATTGATGACTATCATGAAGAAATAGATGTTCCTTGTACTGTTGAGACATTCTTTGAGACTTCAACCCAACAGGATGACCTACCCAACTCCACCACAACAGAATCTGAACCAAAGGAAGCTAGCAAGATTCCTTCCATCAGAATTCAGAAGGATCATCCAAAAGAGCTCATCATAGGAGATCTCAATAGTGGAGTCATGACAAGATCTAGAGAAATTATCTCAAACTCTTGTTTTGTGTCCAAAATGGAACCAAGAAACGTCAAGGAAGCCTTAACTGATGAATATTGGATTGGTGCAATGCAAGATGAACTGAACCAATTCAAGCAACATGAAGTTTGGGAACTGGTTCCTAGACCTGAAGGAACTAACATCATTGGGACAAAATGGATATTCAAGAACAAGTCATATGCTGAAGGAGTTGTCACCAGAAATAAGGCAAGACTTGTTGCTCAAGGATACACCCAGGTTGAAGGGGTTGATTTTGATGAAACCTTTGCACCTGTAGCCAGGTTGGAATCAATCAGACTCTTGTTGTCAATTGCTTGTCTTCTGAAGTTCAAGTTATTTCAGATGGATGTGAAAAGTGCCTTTCTAAATGGGTACTTAAATGAGGAAGCTTATGTGGAACAACCTAAAGGTTTTGTGGATCCAACCTATCCTGATCATGTCTACAAACTGAGAAAAGCTCTATATGGCCTGAAACAAGCTCCTAGAGCATGGTATGACAGGTTAACAAAGTTTCTCTCAGACAAAGGATACAGAAAAGGAGGCTTGGACAAAACTCTCTTTGTCAAAACTGAAGGAGGAAAGTTGATGGTTGCCCAAATATATGTTGATGACATAGTGTTTGGAGGAATGTCAGAACATATGGTTAAATACTTTGCTGACCAGATGCAGGCTGAATTTGAAATGAGTCTCATGGGAGAACTAACTTATTTTCTTGGACTACAAGTCTCACAGATGGAGGACTCAATCTTCCTGTCTCAAAGCAAGTATGCTAAGAATATTGTAAAGAAGTTTGGTATGGAGAATGCAAGTCACAAAAGGACTCCTGCTCCTACTCATCTAAAGCTTTCCAAAGATTTAAGTGGGGTTAAGGTGGATCAAAGTCTATACAGAAGCATGATAGGAAGCTTGTTGTACTTAACTGCCAGCAGACCTGATATTGCCTTTGCAGTTGGAGTTTGTGCTAGATACCAAGCTGATCCCAAAGTCAGTCATATCAATCAAGTAAAGAGAATTTTGAAGTATGTAAGTGGTACTTACAACTATGGATTGTTGTATACTCATGGCTGTGAACCAGCTCTGACTGGCTACTGTGATGCTGATTGGGCTGGTAGTGCTGATGATAGAAAAAGCACCTCTGGAGGATGTTTCTTTTTGGGAAGTAATCTGGTTTCCTGGTTCAGCAAGAAACAGAATTGTGTGTCTCTTTCCACTGCTGAAGCTGAATACATTGTAGCTGGTAGTAGCTGTTCTCAAATGATATGGATGAAACAAATGCTCACTGAGTATAATGTCACACAAGATGTTATGACATTGTACTGTGACAATCTGAGTACAATCAACATATCCAAGAATCCCATTCAGCATAGCAGGACCAAACATATTGACATACGACATCACTTTATCAGGGACCTTGTAGAAGAGAAGACAATCAAATTGGAACATGTTGCCACTGAGCTACAGCTGGCTGACATCTTTACCAAGGCTCTGGATGCAAGTCATTTTGAAAACCTAAGGGGTAAGCTGGGTATTTGCCAACATGAGGAATTGTAGCAATTAATTTTGCTTAAAACAAGGACCAAAGGACTTATGCCTGTTCAAAGAGGAATTGGTTTAAAATTGTATTTTCTCATTTCTTACAATTCTTTTAAGAAGTTGAATAGACACTCCTTCGCTTCCTTCCTCTCTCGTCTCCTCATCAAAACCCAGTCTCTCAATCAGAAATTTCTCCTCATTTGCTGTTGGTCCTTCAAAACTGACAAAATGTCTCAAACACCATCATCATCCAATACGACCATCTCAAGCTCTTCCTCTGATCAAGATTCTGGGACAATCTCTTCCTGTCTGGACTCTGACGTTCTGGAGGTCTCTTCTCATAGAAAAGTGGGAACTAACCCCACCAAGGTCAAAGAGTTGAGAACAAGACATGCAGGTAATCCATCTCATGCTTCCTCTTCAGTTCCCCCTGAAATTGCAAATAGGGAAGGGACAACCTATGTTAATCAAGCAATAGCAAAAATTGTTTCAAGAATTCTGAACGAGAACCACTCAGTTCCTGGCATTTCTGTTCCTCTGAACCAAGAAAGCTCAAATACTGAAAAAAAATCCAGATGTCTCTAAGAATGTTGAGACATCAAACAAAGAGAAGAATGCTGACATTACTCACAAGAAAAGAAAGAAGCCTGAATCCTCTGGATCTGATGACAGTGCTTGAAGGATGGTTGCTGATTTCTGGTGGAGTTTGGAAGTATGTTCTGTTGTTGTCTGCTGCTGATCTTATTATTTTGTTTTGGATAACTGTAAAATTTTCTGAACATGTATCTTTGGCCCATTTGTGGCTAAAGAGGGGGAGAATATTTTGGTACTTGCTTAATTAGTACTTGACATTACATTCTATTTTTCTGCTGTCACTTATTTCTGCTGCTATCTATCTCTGATTGTTTAGGGTCTTTAGCCAAAAATCTGCCAAAGGGGGAGTTTGTAGGTGTTTAGGTATTGGCTTGAATTTTTGGTAAATCCCAAGTGTATGTGTGAATGTCATGACTGATGTCATAACATTCTAGTTCAGTTGTACTGGTTCATTAGGTACCTTTGCAGAAAAATATTGTAATTCAAATACTGATGCTTATAAGTGTGTATCTGAGCATTTTTGCAAAATGATCACATTTTGCTAAATCAGTAGACAGGTTTTCTCAGATGTCATAACAGATGTTATGACATCCTGTTCTGAACTAACAGGATTGCAGGATTGGATAAGTCTGAGTTTTTTCAGGAAATAACTCAGTCCTTCCTGAACAGAATCCTGCGTTTTCTGAGGGGTAACCTAGCTCAACCCTAACCTGGTTAATAAAGTCCTGTGACCTGGTCTTTAGGTCAAACGGAATTATCCCTAGGTTTTTGGAAACCCTAACTGAAGTTGCAGCTGCTATATATTCAACAGAAGCTGCTGTTTTTCAAGTATCTCTGCTGATCGATTAGAAGATCAATTTGTAATCTGTATAGATTTGTGTATTGTACTCCAAGCAATTATCATTGTGATAAGTGCCTTGGAATAGGTTTCTATTTGTAAGGGTTGTGTAGCACTCAAAGCTTTGAAGCAAGAGTGTTTGAATGTTCCTTGACTAAAGCTGTGAAGCAGAGTCAAGTTAGTTGTGTGCATCACTCAAAGCTGTGAAGCACGAGTGATTGTGTTGCTTGATTAAAAAGTTGTGAAGCTTAATCAAGTGCTTGTTTTTGAAGAGTGTCTTCATCAATTATTGAGTCAAATTAGTTTATGTATCACTGCTGTGATTGAGGGGGAGTGAGTTGGTACTCAGGTTTAAGTTGTACTTAGATTGGAATTGCATTGGGTAGGTCTTAAGTGAAGGAGATAAACTGGTTGGTTTATTCCTGAATTAACATCTCTTATAGTGGATTCTCTCCCTGGCTTGGTAGCCCCCAGAGTAGGTGTTGTTGCACACTGAACTGGGTAAACAATTGACTGTGTTCTTTATTGCTTTTGTATTTACTGTCATATAGTAAGTCAGATACGGTGTCATAACATTGAACGTGACATTGAGTATCTGCAGCCAGAATTTCACGATAGATCCTCCATTGTCGTCAATTTTGCCCGTTGTCTTTACCTTTCTTTTTGGGTCTTGAATCCTACACGATAGATCCTCCGTTGTTTTCGATTTTACCCGTTTTCTTTACCTTTCTTTTTGGGTCGTAAATCCTACGCGATGGATTCTCCGCTATCGTTGATTTTACCCATTTTTTTTACCTTTATTTTTGGGTCCCGAATCCTACACAATAGATTCTCCACTTAAATTTATCCATCATAACCTGTTCACCAGAAAACGAATTTTCTATCCCCAGCAGACATCACTAATAATAACACTTAGACCATCTCTCTAGGACAAATTTCAGGTCTTAGTATTTAATCTTCTTCTACCTTAAATGATGAAAGGTTGATGCCAATCTTGCTTTCAGGTTTAAGACAATTAAATAGGGGCAACTGTCATACCCTACATTTGTCCTACCTTTTCACTTTTATCTTGCTTAGGCTTTGCATGTCATTTGGATCATTTTCACTAGGTCATTTGCATATCATTCCTTCATTCAAGAAACCAGTGGTTCAAAGCCTCAATGGTTGTACCATTTATGGTTTAATTTTGGTTCGAGGTTCCTACATCAACAAGTCTGATTCCTCTATATCAACATCGAGATTTGTACAAGTTGTTGTTAATATACAAATTATTACAAGATTACAAGAGCTACTACAATAATTACATGAAAATAAGAAAAATAGGAAGTTCTTAACCAAGCCTATTAATTTATGAGTCACTTATCCTAAAGCCTTGGTTCAAGATTGTTCTTTAGGCCTTCTCCATTTGGCTTACTTCAAACCTTGCACCATAAGGACATGCCAAACCCTTCCAAATTCTGCTACAGCCAAAACCAGCCTTGTTGCTCCTATACGTACATGCTCTCCACACAAACCAAAACCTATTACACCCTTTGCAAAACCTGCCATAAAACCTGATATCGAAGCAGTCAAAACCAGACAAAAATGGCCCTGCGAAAACAGCTTGCAATACTGTCCAAAACCTGTTGCAATGAAGCCATGTCATGGTATTAAAGCTGCAACCAACATTTACTCTACAACTCTGAAAACTTGTATCAAATTGGATAAAGATAAAAAACTGAAAGAAAACGGTCCACTAAACTGATGCACAAACCTGCTGCCCCAAATGCCTTGTCCCTATCATGCATAAAATAATCTAAAACAAGCCTTGCATCACAGTGCAACATAGTCCAAAACAATGTCAAAAAATCAACCTTGTTGTACCTACTGTCTACCTCCATAAACTAGAAAAATAAACTTCTAACATGTTGCCCACAACAATCCAAATGCTGCCCTGCATCAACCTTCTGCAAAACAGTCCAAAATCATGTAACAAAAACTTATTGCACTAAAGCTGTGACCCTACTATATTGCTATCCAGAATAGTCCAAATGCTACAAAACCTTGCACCAGAATAGAAAACTAAAACCTGCATTAAGAAAGTAAGAATCATCCTATAAATTTGTTCAAAACTTATCAAATATTCCCCCCAAAACCACTCTCATTCACTATAAAAAAGCCAACAGCACAAGACAGAAAAGGGTAGACACATGATAAGCATAAAAAAACCTCGGCCCCACATCACTAATTTCATACCATATTTATGTCCAAATATCTCCCAAAACAACTGTTTCATTGACCCAATACACTCTTCAACCTCTGCTCTTACATATAAATCACCTTACAGAATTTCTACTATAAAACACCTCTATCAAAACTATATCAAACCTTCTATATCAAAACTATATCAAAACTATATCAAACCTTCTACACCTCTACACTATCTCAAATCCATCCCACTGCATACATACCCCTTTTATTCTTCACAACAAACCTGCATAGTTAACCTCACCATCTATAAACATACACCTCACTCATACACTCGTTCCTTTCATCACGAATTTCCCCTCTGCAAATACACCATATGACCCTGATCAACCATTGCAGACAATTCTACAATTCCATTAATCTCTCATCGACACACAACCGAAATCGTAGCAATCGTACCATTAATACCCTTATCTTCACTCTGTCCAACTAAACCAAATCCTCCTAACTTAACAACCATCAACCTATTCACAAATGACAATGCAAAATGCAACTCAGAGAAACAACACCACAATAACAAACAGAAACTTGACGAATAACAACCATAACAATGACCAATTTCGCACAGAGTGAAGCAGAATAAAAGAAAGAAAATCTAGGTTAGTAACTTACCTCTACCGTCTAATTACTCTTTAATCTTGTTTCATTTTTGTATCTGCTCTCCATGTCCATTTGGCAATGATTCGAGAATGTCAATGAATGAGGGAATTACGGGTTTCAATCGAGATTTAGGGCTCTGGTCGCCTACTTGCACTTACATCATTTTCACCATGCCTTTGTTTGATATGTGAGGTTGAGAGTCGTTGTTGTTGTTTGTTTATCGCGAGAAGGGTGATGGTGTGAAAGCTAAGAATCAGAGAGTCAGAGGCGGAAGGCTGAGTTACGATGGAGCCAAGTCAGAGACAAGGGGCATAATGACGCAGTTTTGTATGAAAGTGAGACGAAGAAAACAAGCCTGAACCCTAATTCCTTTCTTATTCTTGCTTTTAATTTGTTTTATAATCAATAAATATGATTATAAGAAAATACAAAAAAAAGTCTAAAAAAATGTTGTTCTTGGTGGGTCTGAGCTTATGAAACAAAAAGTTGCTTGTTAGATTCTTTTCAGTTGGGCCCAATTCTTTCTTTTGTTTACTTTTTATTGTTTTTGAACTGTAACAATAATGAATGAGGAAGCATGAAGCAGTGGTAAGGATTTAGAGTTGCAAACCAATGTTCCTGGGTTCAATAACCCATAGGGACCCCTTTTTGACCTTCTTTTTCATTCTCTTTGTATTAGCTTCTAAATTTTATTCATGTTTGCTTATTTTAATTTCCTCTTTAAATAAATAACTTGAATTTAATCTTATCTTAATTTCATTTTTCTTTACACAAAAGAATTAAAAATATTTGAATATTTTAGATTTATGTCTTAATTCCCTTTTGAATTTAATATGTCTTTAACTCGAAAAACCCCAAAATGTTAGAATTGTATTTTCTTTTATTTTAGGTTTATTGATTGATTCTTGATAACATGTACCCTTAAGAATTCCATTAACGATTAAACTTTGTTTGGATCGTTTTAATGTTGAATTAGATATTAGGTTTTAAACCTTAGCATGATAAATTTTAGGATATAGTTTTACTTTAACTTGTGATGACATTTGGTAATTCCTTTAAACTTAACCCTAGGCCAAACTTCACATGCTAACTTAGGTAAATTTTCTCCCTTCATCTCAACTTTAAGTCCATCATTGTACATGACAACATTAGGATTTTAGTTTCCCATATAACTTTTCTTTTCCTTTCTAATTAAAACTTTCTTTCCTTTATCAAAAAAATACAAAAACACTTAATCATTATTTAAACCCATTTCACACTTATCAAAAACACTCAACAAATCAAAAGTCTTCTTTAAAAGAGCATGTTATCTTTATTCTACCACGATACCGGTCGTGCCTATTGCTAGAATGCGTGAATTATTGTCGCCCACTAAAAAACACCAACAAACTAACATTTTGTAGAAGAACTACGGTGTTCTGATTCCTTTCCAGGATACGTGGGCAAAAGGTTGCGAGACTCTCACGAACGCACTAATTAGAAACAATTTCATTTCCCTTAGCAAGTATAGTTTTATATAGACGCACCCTTAGTTTTATATAGACGCACCCTTAGAAACAAACAATCGAAATGGATCCCATTGAGTACAACGGATGTGAGGGGTGCTAATACCTTCCCCTCACATAATCGACTTCCGTACCCTCTTTATTGGTTGCAAGACCATCTTATCCATCCTCTTGGGGTTTTCTTGATAATTCTCCATCCTCCGGGATAATTAAAGTTTGGTGGCGGCTCTGTGTTTTTTGCCGGTCGCTTCAGGGAGTTTTTGAGTTTTGAATTTTTGATGATGAAGTTGTTGCAATATTGTTGTTGTTCATGATAAAAATGACAGAAAACCCTTGGTTTGATCTTGGAGCAAATTGAGAGAGAGGGAGAGAGAGAGAGAGAGAGAGAAAGAGAGAAAGTTTTTGTTTTTGTGAGAATTGGTGAATTATCAGGGGGAAATCTGATTTTTGAATTGATATAGTATGGGTGAATTAGGCGTTGGATGTGTAATTGGATTGAGCCTCAATTTGACTATGTAAGCACAACACAACCACAAAAAGCCACATCATCATTGATGTGAAATCTCGGCTCGATCTCAACACAAAAATCGAAGATTGTGAAATTTGTGATGTAATGCCGAAACAAAGGGCTCAATCGAATAAATGACGAGAAAGTTATAAATTTTTGAAGATGAGGTGACACTGTCTCAGACACATTTCTTTTCAGTTTCAGAATTTTTCACCGTCCTGCTTGTGATTTGGACCAGAAACGGAAGCCTTTAGAGTACTGTTTGAACTCAGTTTAAAGAAAAGTTGTAGCTGACACCATTTGCAAAATCATGCCGAAAGAACCGTCTCGATATAGTAAAAATTGAAGAAGTTACGATTTTTATGATATCGGAAAATGGTAGATTAAAATTCTAGTTCAGCACCACAAAATCTCTGGTAATTCACACTTTCGTAGATCTTCTGCAAAGACTCAATTCTCGGCCCAAACATACCAAATGAAGTAAAATCAAGACAAATTTTTCCCCAAAAGAACGATTCAGAAACATAGCTCCAGGTGAAAGTTATGAATTTTTTAATGTTCGAAAAATTATGGTTTTGCACAGTATTTTTACTGTTGTTTCATTGTTTCTTCTCAAAGTATCTGCATGTTCAGATATCCTCCTCAAAGAATTAGCTTTTGAGACGAACATGAAAGTTGACGAAGATGACAAGATGATTCTGAAGCTTCAAGAATCGCTCTAAAACAGTATTCCAATCAGAACTTATGAATTTTCAAGTGCTCGCGTATGACGGAACAACAAATAAATTATGTATACCGTCTTCAATGAATTAAAACTCCCAGAGTTCTTCTTCAAAAAATTAGCCTTTGATCCAAACACGAAAAGTGAAGGTAATATCAAGATGAACTTATTGCTAAAAAATCAGCCAAAAATACCAAATGAGGCGGGAGTTATGAGTTTCTGAACATCTGAAAGGTGAATAACCTGCAGATAAAATAACTTATGTGTCTAGGAAATTAAACTATTTGGAGACCTTCCTTGGAGAACTGGCTTCTGCCCTAAGCACAAGAAATTATCGAGACGGTCCAAATGCCTAAGGAACCAACTCAAAACAGTATCCAGATTGTGAGTTACAGATTTTTGATCTCGAACCAGTAAAACGCTATTTATGGCTTGCAATATCTCCAATCAACCGAATGCCTAATTTCTCATCCGTTTGAAGCATATTAAGACACATGAGATCCTGATATGATGATGGTTCAAATGATCATTACCCTGATAGCTTGCGAAACACACAAAACACCTCTAAACCTTTGAAAACCTGAGTTTTGCTTTATTGCATGATATAATAGAATAATATCTTTTTGTGTATATTTCAAGGAGAAATGCTTCAATCTCATAACCACTTGTTGATTAAGGATGCATACGATGTTAAATGACCTAATGGGGGGATATGCACATGCGAAGTGTGAGATTCGTAAGCCAAATGGTCCTTATAAAAAGGTATGAAAATTTTGGGATATGACAGCTACCCCTATTTAATCATCTTAAACCTGAAAGTAAGATTGGCACGTGCCTTTCGAATGTTCGAGGTAGAAGATGATAAAATACCAATGCCAAAAACTTGTTCTAAAAAGATGGTGTGAGTAGGTTATTTATTTCTGTATTATCTACTAGGGAAAGAAGATTTTGTTTTTCGTGGGAGGATTTTTTAGGGTAACTTATAATGTAGTGACGATGCTAATATGAGACGGAGATTGGACTTATAATGTAGCAACATAGGCTAATACAAGAGAAAGGTTGACTTGTAACGTAGCAACAATGCTAACACAAGGAAAGGTAATGACTTGTAACATGGCAGTGATGCCAATACAAGACAAAGGTTTACTTGTAAAGTAGAAATAATGTTAATACAAGGAAAAGTCAATGACATGTAACGTAGAAACACTGCTAATACAAGAGACGGTAATGACTTGTAACATGGCG